GTAATTAAAGTCTTTGGGCTGACGGCCCCAGATTCCACAGTAACCTCAGTACAAAAACTTTTGAAAGGAACATTTCCAGCAGAGATTTCTTGATGTTCACTCTTTGCGGATTTATTTTTCCACACATAAAATCATTCACTACACCGAGATGTCCCTCCTATTACAATCTTCACATTAAACTGATGAGAACAATGCAAGGACAACTTGCGTCTTCTGCTAACTTGCTAGCTTAATTCCCCCCCTCTTCCCCACAGTGAACCTGGGTGGACTCCTGCTCCAGGCTCTGCTGGAGTTCTGGCCCAGAACTCGCATCAACCCCATGGATGAGGAGGAGAACGAGGTGAACCACGGTAAGGAAGGGGGACTATCCAGCCACTGCCAAATCATATGAAAGCAAAACAGACACCCCTCTGCAGTGATGCTCTGTGAAGGCTGCTCTCTCCACATCACTTCCTGCTGCTCTCTGTAAACCTCACTGAGTTTGTCTCACAGTAGGAACGTGTTCTTGTGCCCACAGTGAACGGGGAGCAGGAGAACCGGGTCCAGAAAGGAAATGGATATTTCCAAGTGCCACCACACACGCCAGTCATCTTTGGAGAGGCAGGAGGCAGAACTTTATTTAGGTAATGTTTCACCATCAACAATACTACTGTGCCTCATCAGATTATATTTGTTTTACACAGAAATATAGATTTTGTACTCATTTGATCTGGTGTTGCAGGTTGCTATGTAGAGATTCAGGTGGAGAGACGGAGTCCATGCTGCTGAACGAGACCGTTCCACAGTGGGTTATAGACATAACGGTAGATGTGAGTACCATTTTTTTATTAAGTACCATTAATTAATAAGTAAAAATTATTACAGGGTATTTAGCAGAGGTGTGGACTCGAGTCACATGACTTGGACTCGAGTCACATGACTTGGACTCGAGTCACATGACTTGGACTCGAGTCAGACTCGAGTTACCAATTTGATGACTTTGGACTCGACTTGACAAAATCACAAAACACTTGCGACTCGACTTGGACTTGAACACCAATGACTCGGGACTTGACTTGGACTTGAGCCTTCTGACTTGAGGTGACTTGATAATTTAATTCAGGGGTCTCCAACACGCCGATCGCGAGATGCCGCTAGAAGAGCAGACTCCCGTCGGGGAGAGGAGAATCTTCAGCCGCTCCTACTCTTGCTGTGAATCCATGCAGGCAGGGGCGGGACTTTATTTTGCTGAGCCACCATGCGGCCAATCATATGCGAGGACACACTAGGATCATACCATTATGTGAAAGAAGGGTGGGGGGCAGACGCTCCAAAGACAGCAGGTGTAGTGGTACAGGCCAGCTACACAGAGCCACGGGGAGACGGGGAGCCGGATTTAAATGCAAGCGCGTCGGAAGACGTCAAGAAATTTGCGAAAACCGAAAAAAGAAGCAGCATCTGGCTGCATTTCAATGATATTGGAGAAAGCAAAGCTGAGTGCAGGATTTGTAAAATGAAAATAACCTTCAGAGCAGGGTTTCTTTTTGGTAACCACTCAGGATTTATTGCCAGAGGTGGGAGAAGTTCAGATCTTGTACTTGAGTAACAGTACCAGAGTGTAGGAATACTCGGTTACAATAAAAGATCCTGCATTCAAAATGTTACAAGTACAAGTACAAAAGTATTAGCATCAAAATATACTTAAAGTACCACCTGCAGAGGGATCTAGATTCAGGTGTTCTTTTCCCCATAGAGACCGGCTCGCTGCACATTATCCCTTGCATAAAGATAGAAGTGGGTCCCTTATAACATGTTGTACACAGTGGAAATAAACATTCTGGTCACCTCAACATCAGGGATCTTATACATTAAACTCCTTCTGAATCAAACCGTCACGGTAGCCTTACCTTACTGATCCCTCTTACAATAGAAGAAAACACGTTACTTTACCAGCAGAGAGAAAATGGATTATTAAATGATTAATGTGACTAATAAAGAGCAGTTTGATTTTTAAGTATTATTCTGTTGATCGATGTCATTACATTTGTTGAAAAGCACATAAGGACTTGTTTAAGACTCGTTTTGTCAAAGTTTAGGACTTGGACTTGACTTGAACTTTCCCATCCTGACTTGAGACTTGACTTGGACTTGAGCGCAAAGACTTGAGACTTGACTCGGACTTGCAAAACAATGACTTTGTCCCACCTCTGGTATTTAGACTATAAAAAGAACATTTGGAGGCTTGTGTGTTTGTGGGTTAATTTTTGTGGGTGTTTTTGTATGCAAAGCGGTATACATGTATAGCTCATTCATTCAGAGAAGCTTACTTAATACATGTTTGCCAGTATGCCACTTGTGGTTTTAGGTAACACGTGTGCGCTTTTGTCATTTTTGTAAAATAAATCAAAACCCTTGTTGCTAAAAAGCACAACATGTTAACAAGCATTTTCTACTCCGATATGCTTTTTTAAATGTCACTATAGAGAATTTGTATTCACCTTTTTTTTTTTATGGCGAATTTCAGGTGGTTTTAAGTCTAGAATAAGTAAAAAGACACATTTCTAACTTTGGAGCATTGGCGGCTACTTATCTATGGAAGTGTTAATCACAAGTGTAATCTGGATTACTTGTGACGTCCTTAGCGGTTCTCGCTGACAACCCCATTAGCATCTGGATTCACTGAGTGACTCCTGCCAGTGCAGACATTTGACATCTGCCAATCTAGAGGGAAGTTAAAGTCACATGGATTCTAAACATTCAGACTGAGGTCTCATTGCAAAACAAATCACCCTGTATCTGACCGCAGAGGAAGGTGGACTAAATCAAAATGGAGCAGATCAGATTCTGTGGGCTTAGTGCTGTTAACACAGTTAGGAAAACGAGATGTAATTCACAAAAACAGATTTGAACCACTGATGTATGCATTCAACAGATCCTGACACTGGAGCAGATAAATGGAATTCAGCCATCATTAATGTTATTCCCATATTTGCTTTGGAAAATTAGAATTTCGTCTTGAAAGAATGTCACTTTGTTTCTCCAAGGAAGACATTTGTACCATCTTTATAAAACACCTTGTGCACTAACAGTTATCTTCTTTCCTTATCAAATGTTTCATATATTCACGCATCATCTTTCCTTTTCTATTCCAGAAAAATATGCCCAAGTTCAACAAAATCCCATTCTACCTCCAGCCCCATTCTTCCTCCGGAGCAAAAACTCTAAAGAAGTAAGTGTCATGTCTACTCTGGGAGTGTGATTCCTTTTTCATTATGGGATGCAAAAACAACCGTACATCTACAGTCATGGATGCTTGGAGTGCTGATTGTGCGTTGTCTGCAGGGACCGCCTCTCGGCCAGCGACATGCTCCAGGTGAGGAAGGTGATGGAGCACGTTTACGAGAAGATCATCAACCTGGACAACGAGTCGCAGACCACCAGCTCCTCGGCCAACGACAAGCCGGGGGATCAGGAGAAGGAGGAGGACATGGCCATGCTCGCCGAGGAGAAGATCGAACTAATGTGTCAAGACCAGGTGGGCTCTTTGCTCCAGATGTGTTGGTGTCAAAGCTACGAGCAAAGTCATTGTAATAACCTATTATTATCTTTTCATCCTCCAACCAGGTTCTAGATCCCAACATGGACCTGCGAACAGTTAAACATTTTATCTGGAAGAGCGGAGGGGACTTGACGCTTCACTATAGGCAGAAGTCCACGTGAAAATGCTCATTTTAAAACAAACAAACACGAACTCTTCGTCATTTGCCAATCACCACCCACCTCTGACATGTAGTACCCTAAAAAAATGGTTGTGTGGTCGAGAGTCGCGGTATCAATGAGAAAAATGTGTGAGGAAACGAAGCTCGAGGTGTATCATAGAGAAGTGACCAGAACAGGCCGGAGCAGCCGAGAGACACCGGGGACACAAGGGTCCGTAGTTTCATCTTTTTTTTCTTTTTACAGTTTGAAGAAAGGACTTTCTTTTTCCCTCTGATTGGCGCTTTATTTTGAAGGGACGGTATGTGTTTGTGTCCAAGCGTGTGTGTGTATGCACATGGATGTAGTAGACTGTTTTGTTTGTTCTAGTACATTCCAGGAAACTGTCCTTGTTCCACAAACACTCAGCAGTATCGGAGCACTTGGTCTCTGGGTAGCGTCACAGCCTCTCCTCTGTTCTGCTGTCATCTTAACTCTTAGACATCAAATTACCGCAGAGCTTGAAACCTCATTGACAGAAGCACTTGTCTGTGTCTTTTAGCTGTGCTGGTCTCAATGTTCTTTTTTGTTGTTGTAAATATGTGTACAACTTTTTTTGATTTCAGTGACTTTCATTTGCAGCAGTTTTATTCCGTTGTTGTACAGTTTACTTAACAGTTATTTTTTTCCCCAAAATCCCTAGAGTACATTCACGGTCATTAATTTGACTTGGATGTTTAAAATATGTCATTTGTTGTATTTAATACAACCCAAAAAATTGCATTTACTCTTTAAGAAAGTTAGTGGTCGTCAAAGTCATCTTAGCAATCGGGGAAATGATATGTAAGTTATATATATCTTTAATAACGGGTCATGAGCAGTGATGACAGTGAGGGCTCTTCCTAATGTATATTTCATTTAGATTTAATAGTTCAATGAATATAACTTGAAGGGTAATCTCATCTAAGAGAATATATAAATATATCACCATCATGGGGAAATCTCCAAAGTGAAAAAAAAAACAGGAAAACCCTTTTTTTTTTCTTTTTTTCTTGCAGATCTTTTCATTGTAATTTTTCCGCAGTTAATTTTTGCCATGAAGAGTGTAACGCCATCACGGGGGGGACGCATTGAGTGAGCTCTAATTGGCCAAAATCATGATGGGTACCACAATTAGGCCATGACGCTGCAATATCCCTTGTTGTAATAATTTGTGAAATATGTATATTTTAGGCATTCAAAGAAATAAATTGGAATGGTTTAACAATGACACATTTATGGGGATTGTAAATGTGTGTGTGTGAAACAAGAAAAACACGGGACGATTTTTCTTTTTTTAAAGTGATATGATTGTTTAACCTTCACCCATTCACATTCATCAAAAGATTCTGCACTCATTCCTAATAAAACATACAATTAATTGATAAAATATCTGCAAAAATACTTTTCCTTATTTTACACACTAGCACCTACTTTGACAGTGAAAAACTTTTAAGAAGCCCCCTAGAAAGAGAAAATAATAACTCAACAGCAGCATCACTGTGGCTAGACGTCTTACATACTGTATATCTAACAATTGCACATTATCTGCCAACTCACAGGCAGCATATGTCTACTGTTGCATAGATTACAAATATTGAAAAGAGTCAAATCAGACATGGGGGATATGATTCCAGCCATACAAATTATTTTTAACAGATCCCAGGCTGCATAGCTGAATAAATCAAATTTAGAAACGGTGTTTAAAACATACTGACCTCGTGAAATCTGGAGTAAACGCATTTTCCTGCACAAACATTTCCGTCATACAAACACTTAAAATATCCATAACATGGGCAGTACTGTAAAATGTTCCCTCGTATAACCTTAAATGCTACCTTTTTAAAGCTTTGGGATTTCTTTTAAAAACACAACAGATGTAACAATGCGTAGTAAAAATGTAGTATAGTGTTTTGGATATTAAGGTGCGGCTGTGCTTTGCTGTATGCCTTTGGAAGTGTTAAAGTATTCATTCACCCGAAGCAAAGCCCTGTCACCCGTATAATCTAATAATTTTGCACCAAAGCATGAAAATGTTTTGACATTATGACCTTAGTGTACAAATTAGCAGAAACTCTCCCACATATAAAACAAATAGTATTTCTCTAATGCTTTAGTTTGTTTCTGTAGTGTAACTTACTTCATGAGAGATTGTTAGACTGTAATATAAAATCAGACAGCGTGTCTCTGTACTTTTCCTATACAGTGTTCCTTTAAAAAAGCCCCAGTGATTGTCAACATCACTTTTTCTTTTGTGCGAGCTTACTCAAGAGGCGGTTCTTCCTCGTGACCTTCATATTGGTGAGCAGGAGAAACATCTAGAGGCTCCTCTGGTTCCATTGCTGGCTCCTCTCCTGGCTCCTCTGTTGTCTCCTCTCCTGGCTCCTCTGTTGTCTCCTCTCCTGGCTCCTCTGTTGTCTCCTCTCCTGGCTCCTCTGTTGTCTCCTCTCCTGGCTCCTCTGTTGGCTCCTCTGTTGTCTCCTCTGTTGTCTCCTCTGTTGGCTCCTCTGTTGGCTCCTCTGTTGGCTCCTCTGCTGGCTCTGCAGGAGAATCCTCTGCCGCCGTGGACTCATCGGCAGCAGGAGATTGGTCGATTTGGACGGGAGACAGGGTGGGGTCTGGAGACTCTACAGGGAGAGAAGCTTCACACAGAGAGAGGGGCGTGGCCTCTGTGAGCGGGGGGGATGGGTCAGTGTCCGTGGAAGCAAGAGCGGAGCTGAGGTCCATAGCCGCCTCGGAGCTCAGCTCCTGCGGGTCGGGCTGGCTCTCCGCTGACGGAGAGAGCAGCACACTGTCCTCTAGTTCCTCTGCACAACAGACAGTAGAATTAAAACAAATGTTATCCCGGGGAAATTGGGTTTTGTGACAGTTATTTTAGAATGTAATAAATTAAAAGATAAATAGATAAAAAAGAGAATAAAATATGTATATTGACATACAATTCACATTAGAATGTTCAATTTATTTTTAAATACAAATTACATTTATTTTTATAAACTTGAGTTAAAGATATATGTTGTATAAAGGATTAAAAAAAAAATCAAATATGTGCACATTGTACTACAAAATGTAACATGTACATTACAATATTAACAGTGGTGTATTAAGATATTATTTCTGGATTTGCACAGTGTTAAAATACATTAAAGGTCCCATGTCATGGCCATTTCTACTGATCATAATTCCATTGTTGAGGTATACTAGAATACATTTATATTGTGCAATTTTCCAAACTCACATTGGTTTCTCATACAGCATCTCTGTATAGTATGTGTATTCACTGAATTTCACTCTGTCCTAAACGCCTTGTTGGAGCTCCTGCCCCCCCCCTCCCTGTGAGCCCAGTGTGCCCTGATTGGTCAGCTCGCTGCTGCGAGGAGCTGACAGTGTGAGCTGGTGTGGTTTCCTCGAGACATCGCGAATGGACGCAGGAAGGGTGCTGAGGGTGCTGCAGCAGCCCCATCTGCGAGGCAGCACCCGCATCCCCAAACGCGGCGCACCTACAGTGTAAGCGCGCCACAGTTTCGCCACGCTGCGAGGCTCCACTATCACCCCCCCCCCCCCCCCAGCGCGTCACCTTTTCGCCGCTAAAAGAGTGTGTGTGTGTGAGGAGCTCCACAGGGCCTCGCTCGGCTTAGTACGGTATAGTTAGGCCTTGTTAGGACCGGCTCACTTTATGCTGCGTTTCCATTACAGTTTAGTAGCTGGGGCAGTAACTATAGTAACGCAGTGTAGGCGGAGCTGTGACGTCATCTTCAATGAGCACCACAGAAAAACAACATCAGCCATTAGCCGTTAGCACTCAAGCTCACAGCTCCTCATATCTGTTCAGAAACTAGACAAAAGTTAAACAAGTACAAACCACAGAGTGTCTGTGTCATGGCGAGTACAGTCGCTGCTTTATTTATGTCTGTATAGGCCGTTGTTGTGAGTGTGGACGGTCGGAGCATATACTGCGTTAGCTTAGCCAATCTCCATTTAGAAAACACGCATTTAAAAAGGTTTTTCACCTGCCGTCTGTCTGCAGACTTGACAAAGCATTAATTCATGGTTTTTACTAACCGGTATCAGTATGTTGCGATTCTCTCTCTAGTTTAGCATACTCAGCCCGACTCAGCCTGGTTGTTGGCCCGGAAAGAACCTTGATTTTATGGGGCCAGAAAAACTGCGAAATAGTACCCGCTAGCCGGAACTACGCCAAGTGGAAACGCAACCAAAAATGGGCCGTGCACGACACGGCACACTTACACCGCGCTGTAGTGGAAATGCGCCATTAGTACCAGGAAGAAAAAGAGAAATCTCCAGTGTTTGAGTTGTACTTGCTACAGGGTGTACTTTGAGGGTTTGTGACTTTGCAGACCGTTTACATGCATAAAAAGCTACATAACACACAAGGGGACGGGTAATAACCAGTAAAGCATGACATTGGACCTTTAATAAATGATTACCAAACCGTTTGAGACCCACTACTTAGACTAAAGTGAACCATCTAAACCAGGGGTCGGCAACAGGCGGACCGCGGTCCGGATCCGGACCCAGACGCCGACCTATACGGACCCGGACCTATAATCAATACATTAATAGGGGATTTCAATTTTGTCGGGACGATTCTATTTTAACCGCTGCCGACAGGGGGCGAAAGAGACGAGTGAGCGATACAGGGAGAGAAACACAGAAGAAGAGACGAGAGAGCGGCAGAGAGAAGCGGAGAGGAAAGTGAGTAAAGAGAATAATTAGCGATACAGGGAGAGAAGACGGAGAGGACAGTGAACAGGCGTGTTAGCGGCAGACAGGGAGAGACAAATAATGACACATGGCGCTCTCCAAGAAGAGGAAAGTGGACAGTGAGAACAGAGCTTTTAACCCTGAGTGGACGGACTCATTCATGTTCATCCTGCCCACTGGGAGCACAGAACCAGTGTGTCTCATTTGTTCATTGACCGTGGCGCTCAAGCAGAATACAAAAATCAAGTAACTGTATTCAGCTCGCGTTATATTTGAAAAACGAGTAATCTGATTACAGTTACTTTCGTAAACCTGAAGTGAATACATTTTGGAATACTTATGGGAATTATTGGTGGAAATGTTTCCTCATAAAATGTAATAGTCATTACCAGCAGAACTGTGTGCACACTGCACAGCGCTGCAGCGTGTCTGTGAGCGAGAGAGAGATGCAGCGTGTCTGTGAAGCCCCGCCCCCGCACGCAGATCAGAGAGAGATCTCTTTTAAAATATATTGAAAGTTAGAAACGGAGATGGTTCGATAAAATGTGCAAGATAACGTTTATGTAGCATTTCTTTATTGTCGAAATGATGACATTTCATAACGGGATCAAATCAAAGTGAATGGCCTGCTGCTGCTGAATGCATGGGGCAAGTGACTGGAAACAGTTTTAAAAGTTATTACGTCGTTTCAGATAATAAATAATAATGGTAATTCATTCTATTTAGGGGCGCCTTTCAAGGTGATGTTTTTTATGTGGGGTGCAGATGAGAGGGAGCTGTCCAGAATGACACCAAGATGTTGTGTTTGAGTTGTGCTCTTGATAAGCCATTAAAACAGTAAAATAAGTGTCTCCTGTTCACCAAAACATACCCATCTGTTATGGAAAAATAAAGTATTCCAAAAGTATTCTAAAAGTAATCTGAACACGTTACTTTTTTAAGACACGTAACTCTAACTGTATTCGGATTACTTTCAGAGCCATGTATTCAGTATTCAGTAACCGATTACATTTACAAAGTAACCCTCCCAACCCTGATTAAAAGTGCCAAAACGCCACTATTATTACCCCTTTCACACCGGCGCTTTTCCAGCTCCTGCTGGGAGCTAGAGCCTGAAAAGCGCCGTTTTTTCCTGTTCACACCGCAGCGGCGGCGCGTGATAGCTCCGGAATGCGGTTCACTTCCAGCTCCAAAAAGTTGTCGGTCTAGAGGCAAGAGCTTCGGAGCTATGACGCGGCGTCGCTTACGTCTCTTACGTCGAGGCGTGCAGGAAACCTTACTTTGACCATCCGTTCGCTGTTATTGATCATTGTGGAGATACATGGGCTGTACAGGTTGTCATGTCCGACTATCACAAGTAGAATCATAATGAAAAATACGCCGGTAAAATGTGCCTGTAGAAAACGGCTTAGCAAGTAGTCAGTTTAGCTTCGGTTGCTATGCTAACATCACCCATGTTATACCAGAGAAACTTTCATAACAGCGTTGTGATGCCAAACAGCGTCAATTCAGACTGACACACATTCACTTAAGGGGAACTGGGGATATGTATCAGCTGCTTGTGTGACAGTCAGACAGTGAATACTTTAGAGCCGTGTGAGCTAACCTGGAGCTAACGGGAGAATAAACTCCCGTGGAAGTGCAGCCACTGCAGCGGTCGGTAAATGCCGCTGAAACGCATTAATAAACAATGAACCACGGCACTCTGGAGAAAAGTATAAGGTTGGAGAAGTCGTTATTTAATTTAATCTGGCTTCGTATGATTAAAAGCAACACGATCATCGACCCGACGCAGTCCCCGGCCCGTTGTTGTTGTGGGAGAAAATCAGCGACGTAAACTGTGACGTCATGACGCAGCAGCGGCAGCTCTGGGCAGTGTGAACAGAGCGGGAGCTGAAAAGGGAAACCGGAGCTGAACCAGAAAAGCTCTCGCGAGGAGCTAGAAAGTGAAAAGCGCCGGTGTGAAAGCCAAACACAAAGTGTTTGACCAAACATTCCCTCTCAAGTCAGAACTGAGGTCACAAAAAATAAGCAGTCTCAGAGCCCAATATGATCAGTCCACCAGGATCAAAATTAAAACTAAATATGGTTCCAGGGCAGGCTAACCGAGGCTAACCAATGAGCAACTGCATGTGTGTATGAGAATGGCCCTGACACAATTTCAGCCCAGATTTAAACTCCTGGCAGGACAAGCTCAAGCTCAATTCTCGCACTGAATTAAAGAAAGTGAGTGAGGGACTGCAATATAAGAGGGAAAGAAAGAGAAACTTTAAAACTGTTGAATTGTTATGATGTGTAAAGACTGATATGTTCTATAATCGTCTGAAACTGTTAAGTCATGATGTGAAACGGTTAACAAAGCTATTTTATTTATTTTCTCTATTTTATTTTTAAATGCAGCCAGAGAGGAGCATTACACATATCCACAGTATTTACTGTATATCTGTATAGTTCAATGTTCATTGACAATAAATATTTTTGTTTTTGAATTGTACTTTCTTTATTTGATTGGCAGTCGGTTGTTGATGACATGCAGACGTTGATAAAGCTACAGCTACTTCAATATATATCACACTAATTCATGAAGCAAGTTAGACATTTTGATGTTCCGGACCTTTGCATGGGGACATTTTCTCTAACTGGACCTCGTTGAATTTTAGTTGAATACCCCTGATCTAAACCCTCAGAGAGTCCTTTACCTCACTGAGCTGGAGTTATCAGCCTCTCAGTCTGACAGGAGAGGACTCTCCCTCCACCTCTTTAATAACAGCGCCTTATATCCGGGTGCTAGTGGAACACGCTCGTGAACTGTTAGCACCGGAGCCTCGCAGCGTGGAAACTGTGCCGCGCATCATTTTACAACTAAAGACACAGCTATACAAAAACCGCAGCATGTGTACGGCTCTGAGAATCTGCCTTGGTACAAAGTAGCAGTGAAAACATGGTATGGAATTTCATTGATTTGGGCATTCTCACAATAAGCAAGTGGAATGGATTTGATAATGAAGCACTGACACAGCGCTCTACAGAGAGTGGCGAGTGGATAGACCGATTCACGGACTTTCCGCATAGTAAAAGTGGGGGGGGTCTAAACTAATAATTTTAAAAGGTGGGGGGGACTTGTCCCACCCTCATATAATGGCTGTGACGCCCATGGATATTATATCTATACTGTGATACGAGGCAAGATATTGTAATACATATGTAATATCCTAAGTGATGTCATTTTTAGACTTTTTTTCAGCTGTACTATTACTTGCCTTTACCCACTTAGTCATTAATTCCACAGTTGTGATGTTTATTTATCAGTATTCTCAATTTGTAAATATGTTGTAAATGGTCAAATCTGCCATATTGATATGAAGGTGTTTGGTTAAAAATATTGGAATGAATGATTAACTTTCTTATCTCCCAATCCATTCAGCCCACGTTTTTTTCTCCAGGAAACTTTGTATGATGTTGTCCCAAACTTACCAACGCCAGAGATGTCCCCGTCCTTCTCCTCGTCCTTCTCCTCGTCCTTCTCCTCGTCCTTCTCCTCGTCCTTCTCCTCGTCCTTCTCCTCGTCCTTCTCCTCGTGCATGGCCAGTAAATTGTTGGTCATGTCGATAGAAGACACGGACAGATCCAGTCTGTCCACCAAATCTGCCGGGTTAGGGGTAGCAACTGCCGCCTCAGTGTCTGAGAAACCTAAAGGGAAAAAAATCAATAAGATTCCAGGGAGACACGCAAGACACAACTCATATATCATTATCCTCTTAAGGAAACTGACCAGGGTCCATGACCCTCTGGACGGGTGGAGGAAGAGGAGCCTCATCGAGGGTGATCTTCTCCAGATCTAACAAGTCTTCACTTAGACTTGAAGGTGCCATCAAAGGTGTCTGGAAAACAGATGAAGAATATGTAAGCCCTGCCTCTACCAATAGATTAATCTTGTGTATAAAAAATAAGCAGTGACATAAGCAATATATCTAGAATACATGCTATCATATTTGCTGGTTTTCTCGGTTCAAATGTGACATTAAAAACATTTTGGAAATATTTTTTGCTTGATAATTATTCACTTAATTGGAAAGAGAACAATAGATTCGTAAAAAATGACTTAATGTGAACTCAGATGTACCTCTGTGTATCCATGTGTAGGCAGCTCCGGAGCAGGCTCCTCCTCAGGAGCAGAGGTGGGAGGCTCCGCCGGCGTCTCCTCAGGATTTATTGGGATCCGGTGCAAGTAGCCATACCCAATACCACAACCCAAACTAAGAGAGAAAACAGAATAACGCTGTATGATCTGAGGAAATCTTCATTGTAAAATAATGGACTGCTTACTCTCTGTTCCCTCACAATGGTTGATTGACATATAGTACAAAAGCAGTCACTAAAGCATGTTTCTGTGTATTCTCACGTACCTGCCCTCTCCCCCCCACGCTCCGTTTGGTGTGACCACCACCTCTCTGCAGGCATCTGAAATTGTGTTGTACACCATCAGCTTCAGAGGCTTCCCTTCATGGGCCTCGATCAGCGAGAAGAAGTCTTCTGACTGGAAATCAGCAGAAGAAGTTAACCACGAGCCATTTTCCACAGCTTTGTTAAAAGATACAATGAATCTTACAAATGATTATCAGTTTAAAAAAAGGTAAGCATTATATAAAAATGATTCTTACATCCTGCAACACTTGATCCGCTCCGACAATGTAGTCACTGTGAGGCTGAAGCTCGGCCAATGAAGCGGGAGAACTAGCTTCCACATCCTGCAGCAAAGCATTAACAGGAGTTAGTAAACTGAAGATGGAGCTATAATGGGGTATTGAAGTTCAAATCTGTAAGGACAGTTGGTTTGGTTTTCCTAGTTCTTGATGAAGAAGCTCACCAGAACATGCCAGACATTCTCGTTGGCTCCATGGTAGCTGCAGAAGCGAACGCTGGCCCCCAGCAGGCCCTGTCCCCCCCACATGCTGCTGGGCACCACCTCCAGCTCACGGACGCTCGTGGTTTTGGTGCTGTACACCACCATACCCACGGCTCTCTCCATGTTAGCTTTCAGAATCTCCTTCAGCAGGTCATTCTCCTCGTTCTGGTGATGTGAAGAGTCAAAAGAGTCATTATTTGATGCTTCTGTATGTCTGTGCAATCTTTGTTAATGACCAACCTGTGTGACAAGGGACATAACTACTCAAAAGTGGACAATCAATAAACGTACAAGTCTTTTGTTGTCCAGAGACAGAATGAAGTCAAAGAAGGGCTGCAGTCCGGCCTTTTCTGCGGGGGAATTTGGCTGCAGCTGTGGAAACCGAAAGAATTGTGCTTTTAGAATATAACTTGGAAATATGAAAATGATGACAAAACCAGAATATTGTTTTTGGAGCATGTAAATCATCTATTTCTTCCCCTACCTACTTCAAGGTTAATAGCTGCAAATAGGGATTTCTCTTTTATGGATTAATCATTTATATATATATATATATATATATATTCATCTTAAAGTCTCCTTATAATGGTGGTTTGGTCAGCCTTACAGTCAAAATATTCAATTACAAGCATATAAATAACAGAAAAGCACCAACGTTTGAAATACCAAATGTTGGGGATTATCGCTTGGTCGCCCTCTCGATCGATGTATCGATTTTGTTTATTATTTAGTTAATCGAATAATCAAATCAGCACTAATGTTATTTACTGTAAATATACTTTTCATGCAACGGGATTAAAGAAAGGGTTTTAGTAAGGAGAGGATCGGAGGCTAGTGAAAATTCATCTTGTTTTATTTGCCATCAAGCTGAAAACCATTAGCTATATTAGTCAGAGCATTAGCTAATATTTAGCAATTATGCTACTATGACTACGGTTTTAAAAACCAATCATGTATGGTGATTATCAGGGGACTAACGCCATTCTGCTGGTGGACATTATATAAAACAAGTTACAAGCCTCATTTAACCGTATTTACTGCAGAATTACACTAGTAGATAGGAGATTATGTGGCATGGTCAATAAGTAAACAGTGCCAGCTCATCGGGTTTAACCGGTGGGGTTTGCACCAGCTAGCTCCCAGTTAGCATATAGTAACAGTCATGATAAGCTGCTGTACACGCTGTCCTAAATCAAAGAAAGAGGAATAACGTCTTACGCCATGCACGTGGTATCCATAGGTTCCTCCTTCGGATACTTCTGAACTCTGTGATAACCCCATTTTGGCAAGGAACTTTCAAATATGAGCTAATTTCATCAGAAAATATCAAGAGTATGAGAATGATTACGGCTGACAGACGGCGGCCATCTTGTCTGTAGTCCAAAACAATCGAACATGGCAGGTATCGAACACACAGCGCAGGATGACGCATCGTAGTGTTTGTGACCATGGTTATGGAAAATCAGTGATAAGTCACCGTTTAATGTACTGCACATTTTTAAAGTTATGGTAGGTAGAGTGTATGGAGAAAGAAAGTTAAAATATGTCGCATTATAAAGTCCCTGTCACTGTTCGACGTTGTAATACTTTATTTTGTCCATACATTTAATATTACTTCAGTTTATCAAAATATCGATATTTCGAAATTATGCAGAAGACCTCATAAAGAATGACATTGTAGCCTATAGTATGTCAACACAAAGTAATAATATAGTATGTCGAAAATATTAGAAACGACGTCCTAGTGTAGCCTAGTATGAAAAAAAGGAAATAATATAGTGTGGTCGAAATTCCACAATTAATCACCCTCTGGTAAGAAATCAACAAATATACAAGTTTAAACCAAACTGTGTTATTCAATGAAGAGTTAAAGCATTCAACATAATCAATGTATTCCAGCTTGAAGGATAGAGTCTTGCACCAGCAATGTAGCACAATGATCTGGCCAAGTTAAAACTAAAAGTCAAGCACTTAATACAGGAAAAATACACAGGAAAAGGGAAGGTACATCTAATCAAAATGTACATTAAAGACTGCGGGCAAGCCAGCCTCCACTTCGGAAAACACAGTCAAGCCAGCATCCGCGTTGTTTTGCGGTGCGCGAATATCCTATGCATTACGGTAGCGGTCTGGAAAAACTGCCTTCAAAATAAAAGTGCTTACTCGGTCAATAACAATTTTAGCAAACATATTGAAATATGTACTATATAGGCCTAATGTGATCAATAATAATGTAAGACAAACTACGTATAACTACCACATTATAACTGACTGAATGTAAAACTTAAAGAGTTTCAAAATAAAAGACCTTTGAAGTCTCATATATGAGCTATCATCCCTCTGTTTTTAGATGAGAATAAAACAAAGACTGTCCAGTATCAAATACTAATATCACTTCAGGGTGATAGCAGGACACCCCATCTAGTCACTCAGGGAGAATCAGGACAATCTGATGTAGAGTTTCAAAATAAAATACCTTTGAATTCTCATATATGAGCTATCATCCCTCTGTTTTTAGATGAGAATAAAACAAAAACTGTCCAGTATCAAATACTTATTTCACTTCAGGGTGATAGCGGGACACCCCATCTAGTCACTCAGAGAAAATCAGGACAATATGATGTAGAGTTTCAAAATAAAAGACCTTTGAAGTCTCATATATATGAGCTATCATCCCTCTGTTTTTAGATGAGAATAAAACAAAAACTGTCCAGTATCAAATACTTATTTCACTTCAGGGTGATAGCAGGACACCCCATCTAGTCACTCAGGGAGAATCAGGACAATCTGATGTACAGTTTCAAAATAAAAGATCTTTGAAATCTCATATATGAGCTATCATCACTCTGTTTTTAGATGAGAATAAAACAAAAACTGTCCAGTATCAAAGACTAATATCACTTCAGGGTGATAGCAGGACACCCCATCTAGTCACTCAGAGAAAATCTGGACAATCTGATGTAGAGTTTCAAAATAAAAGACCTTTGAAGTCTCATATATATGACTTCAAAGGTCTTTTATTTTGAATATGATAAATGCCTGACAATGGTCAAGATGACACCCTTCTGTCTGTTGAAGGCGTGAGAAAATCAAAGTTACAGTGACCTATATATAATTAAAGGAGACTTATGATACATTTCTCTGATAGTTGGCCTATACAAATATGAGAAAAAACAACAAAGTATAGTTTGTCAAAAATATATATGTGGAAAATATCAGAAACAACAACATAATATAGTAGGCCTATGTTGAAAATTATCTGAAAAGACAAAATGGTAAAGTCTGTCAAAAACAGTCATAATATAGTATTACAAAAAATATCAGAAAAAATGACATAATATAGTATGATGAAAATATGAGGAAAAATAACAGTCAAGTATGACTGAAGCCCCTGTTGTCAACATGTATTCTTGTGCAAGACACTTAAAAAACCCAAATTGCTCCCAATGGCATGGCCAATCTTGTGTGTGTATGTGTGTGTGTGTGTGTGTGTGTGTGTATGTGTGTGTGTGTGTGCAGGTGTGTGCAGGTGTGTGCAGGTGGGACCTTGCATGGCAGCCCTTGCCTCTGTATGTGTGTGTGACTGGGTGAAAGATGACTTGTATATATTTAAGTGCTTTATGGTGTCAAAAAGACTGAAAATAAATGCTATATGAATGCATTCCATTTAAGATTCTTGAAAAAAAAAGCTAGAGTACAGTATGCCATAGAAACGTCATTTTGCAGCGTGTCATAAAAAAAATAGTTGAAAATAATTGTAGAGTATATCATTAAAAAAAGTGAAGCGTCAAAGTGCAAATTGGAGAAATGTTGTACCGTTTTAAAATATCCTTTGAATAAAAAATGTCCAACAGTCGAGCGTGTTGAGCATCTTATTATTACATTTAAGTGAATTTATTAACTATTTATAATTGTGTTGCATATTTTTTAAGTGCTTCGGAAATCTTTTGAGGGCCAAACATTCAAACTCAATATGTCTTGATGGAATACACGAATATAATAAATACCCATAAAGTGAATACATTTTAAAAGTTTTATTATATTACTCCAATACAGAAATATTATAACATATTATTAAGCAGATACTTGATAATCCACAATCAGCAAAGGCAGTAGAAAATAATTCACAACTCGAAGGCTCAAAATGGAGGAGTGTTATCATTTAATTACTGGCTGCTTTAAAGTGGATTTACGCACCATGGCCAGCTACTTGCAAAGTATGCACATTTGTGTTATGATATGTGTGGCATCACTTTTTAAAATGCTTTATTGCCTTTGTGACCTTTGTAATAAATATGACATACAACAAGTTAACTTACAATGATGAAGCGGTAGCAACAGAGGCGAGACCAAGAAATATCAGCGGCCATGGTATAAGAAATTAAATAACATAAAAAATATCAGGAAATCAAATAAAAATACATATTAATTATTCAAGTGCGTTTTCTCTTAAAATAAAGGCAAATATTTGTAGGCAATAGAAAAAATATCCAGCTAGGAAAAATAGTTTATCAATGATTCCTTTTTTCCATTGAAATATTATTACAAATGCATAAGCAGTGCTTTGTACATTAAATGATCTTACACAGTCATGTCCCTAGAATGCGTGGCTATAAAATCTGCCCTGTGCTACCCCTGCTCCGGGCCGGGCTCCGTCAGCCCGATGAGGGACTCCAGGAGGAAGGTGCTGGACTCGTACTGCGGCAGGTTCACAGAGCTCAGCAGCTGCAGGTGGAAAAAGCTGTCGGGGTGCCTGTGAAGTTTAAAAGAGCTGTGCAGAGGTCCAGAGGTGTAGTCGCTGTCAAAGAACTCGATGTCGGAGTCTGAAGCCAGACTCAGGTCCATGTACCTGCCGGAAAAATAGTCCAGGGTGGGGGAGGGGGTGCTGGGGAAGCCCTCCAGAGAGTCAAAGAAGTCTAGGTTTGCTGTCTGCCGTACTTTGTGGTTTAGCTGGCTGCACGCAGAGTAGTTATTATTTTCACACATGCTGAGGGGAAGTGACAACCCTCTATCTAAATCAGGGAGGTCCTGACTCCCATCGAGGCTTCCTCCCGCAGAGTCGGAGGAGGAGCAGGAGGATTCGGTCATGTCGCTGCTGCAACTGCTCTCCTCCACCGACAACCGTTCTTGGGGGAAGTGAAATGAAGGCGTTGTGGGCATGGTGAGAGGAAGGCCGTCCTCCTCCGAGGTGAAGCCGAAGGGGCAGCTATGGTCCTGTGCGTTCTGCCCCGGATCGGCCTCCTCCTGCTGCCCGTACACTTCCAGGTCCTCTGGGAGTCCCGTCTGCTCCTCTTGGCTCACTGATTCCTTCTGCAGTCGCCTCTCCATCTCCAGCTTCATGACGGTGTGGATGTAATGAGTCTGCACACGTCTGGAGTTGAACTCGATGCGGCCCTGAGAGTTCCCACAGCCGTCCGTAGTGCAGCCACATGGGAAGTTTAAGCGGTCCTCCTGTGAGTAAAATACAGGAAGTTAAGGTAAGGCTGCAGGAATACACAGTATTAACACCACGATCAATAGTTCACCATCAGAGAGGGGGGTTGAATGTGTTTTAAATCAAAAGGTGATTTGCAAGATTCCAATTAAATTACTGCAGTGATAAGCAAAATGATAGCACGCATTTGGTGAGTGATATGTCTAAAATCCTCAAATACAGCATGTTTTTTGTACGAGAGAAAGTCAATATGATTTGACAGGCATTTGTTTGTTTTAATAATAAATTACAGGACCAATGTAAATAAATGTAGATATATTAGTTTAAAAGTGTGAAAATGTGGTGCACCCTTTAACAAAAAAGAGTCGATTGACAAATACATGATCAGAAAGCCACATTGTTGTGAGTATATATGTTTCTGTCTCTTTCTTTGCTACGCTTGATGTGAAATGCAATGATCTGTACTGTAAAAGGGGTCCGCATAGTAAGCTGTAGCTTCAGTATACACATGTAATGATTATGCTGAATTGTTAATAATAAATAGTTATTTGAGTAATTGTATTTTTATTTTTTTTATTATCCATAAATATTGTCTTGCTTTTAATGTCTCTGTATACTGTTTTTTAGTGGCAGATACCATTTTTTTTAATTGATAGAAATATTGTTGCTTAAAATCACAAGATAGGAATGATGGTATTTGGCTAATAGACATTAAACTTAAGACAATAGATAAATGGCTTACCTAAAGTAAATATCAAAATTGCTTCAACACAAGTTTTTTGTAATTCATATGAGATGCTTAACACTAGAACCGCCAACAGGTAAATTTTACCCGCAGCTGTTTTTTGATTGTATGTAACTTTTTTTCAATAAAATATTAAAGTCTCCCAGTCCGTGACTTTTCCTGAAAGGGTGTTATGTACAGTAGCACCCTCTGTTGTTAAAAATTGT